CTGTAACAGAGTATTTATACAGTGTGGTATTAGTACTTTTACTGTAGTAAATTTTCTAAAAAAAACATTCTTCCTTCACTCTATTTTCATATCTGCTCTAGTAAACTTTTATTTTGTAAAGAAGAAGAGAACTGTATTCAAACCAGAAGTTCCACGTGTTTCCGTTAAATCTAGCTCGACAGTTCCGCCATTAACGGCCACCAGCCGGTAACAGCGAGTCTCCCGCAGAGAAGAGACTCAAACTAAACATCTGGTCTTTATTTATATTATAACGACGTGTTTCTGCTCCACCGTGAATCTAATAACACCTATTTATATTCAAATATGTTATTATATATAAACATTAAATATAAATCATGATTAGATTGATGAGAGGAAGAATCCACATGAAGTAAACAACGTTCATATTGACGTAGTATTGATAATAAATCGTAGTATTGATGATGAAGGATTATGGATTCTCATGGCGGACGCACTGGCCTCTGATTGGCCCAAGGGGACGGGCTGCGGGCCAATCAGAGAGCGCGCTGCGGGAGGCTGCCTCTCCTAGCAACAAGAGGGAGCTGCTGGAGATCAGAGCTGTTGTTGTTCCTCCAGGTGAAGGATGCTTCCTTGGTAGGATGCATCCAAGGAAGCATCCTAAAGAGGCTGAGACTCCTTCCTAGTCCCCAGAGAGGACACTAAGAACCTTCTTTAGCTCCTGTTCCACAGTCTCTCAGCACAAGAGCCTCCATGAGTTACGTAACTTAGGGTGATTAGTCGCCATTTTAAAAATCCTGTTAGCTGCATAAACAACAAACAACGAAAAAGACGATGAAGGAAAACACAACAAATGGACCAACAGGGAGGAGCTTAAGTCAACTCATTGATGACAACACACCTACTGAGCCAGAGAACGAGTGAGCTAACCCAGTAGCACAAAGGCTAACCCAGTAACGTTAGCATAAAAGCTAACCCAAAACCAAAAGGCTAACCCAGTAGCACAAAGCTAAACGTTAGCACAAAGGCCAATCCAGTAAAGCAAATGCTAAGCCAGTAGCTTTAGCACAAAAGCTAACCCAGTAGCAGTAACGGGTACTTTCAAGACTATTGTGCTTGCGTTTATTTAATTGTGGCATGAAACACAGTTGTTTACTCTATTACTTTTTTATTTTGTTGTTCTTTCTGTTTATTTATTGTCATGATCACTAAGCGGTTTGCGTCGCCCAGTGGGAGTCTGGGATACGACCAGAGGAGTCGCCCCCTGCTGGCCAACAGAAAGAAAGCAGGTTGATAAGTGGTGACATCACAGCATCTGACCAATGAGATGAGAGCAGCTCATCAGCGATGAGACAGAACTCTTCCTCTTCATCAGGCTCGTGTGGAGTTCAGCAGCAGGTCGGTGGCGCCCTCTGGTGGTGGAAACAAACACTTCCTATAAATCCTCAAATAACTGATGAAGGTTCATCGGAGCCAGATGAGAGTACAGGTTACATACAGGTTATCCTCATTAAATATGATAATTTATTTATCATAGTTATTCATTGTTAGTTGGATAAATTCAAGGTGTATCATCTCGTTTTACTTTACTGATTATACCTAATAATTTAATTTAATTTAATTTAATTTAATTTAATTTAATTTAATTTTGTCTTCCTGTCTTGATTTGCTTTGATTCTTCCTCCTTTTGATGAAGTGTGTGTCGTATATATGGAGAACTTAAAATAAAATAATACTAAAATCTATATTAATACATTCTCAGCTTCACACTGCATCACTTCTACTAACACCATAAAAATAATTCACACAAATACAGTTTTATGTTCTTCTGGTTTCGTTACTAAGCGACACACCATGTGAGCATTGTTAGCATTGTTAGCATGTTGAGACTCTTCGTGTTAACGCACACACACACACACACACACACACACACACACACGTGTGTGTGTGTGTGTGTGTGTGTGTGTCTGCTGACACAGGAGGATCAGATTAATCCTCCCTTCTCACTTTTCATCACCTCCTCCCTCTCAGTAAAATCTGTCCTCCCTTCTCACGTTTACTCCTCCCTCACTTTCACCTCTCACTACCTCCAGTACTCTGATCCTTTACTGCTGGAAAAGTACTGATATCACGCAGTAAAAATACTCTGTTACAGTAAAAATACTAATACCACACTGTAACAACGATGACAACAAGTCACAAAACAACTTCAAAGAGACTCAAAGTCTGAATGAACACCGAGGTCAAAAACAAGAAAAACGTTTGTTCTTCAGACCGAACATGTTTTGTTGACACTTGAACAGAATAATGAACTCACAATGAACACAGAAACAGTTTATGAAAGTAGTTTTATTGTATAAAACACACATCTCCTGCTCATCGACCCCTAAGGGTCCAGGTGAGGGCGGATCCATGAGTGCAGGTGAGACAGTATCATCTCCTCTAATCTCTTTATCCTCATCAGGTCGACTCTGCTGCTCCAAACACTCCGTCACTGGTCACATCCCTCCATTTTATCCTCCTTTCTCTCCAAACTTCACCGGATTTAACGAGGTCAGCCTTGCGTTGTGGTGGGGGGGGGTACTCCTCTGTTTCCATGGCGATGAGTTTGATTGGCGGTTGGTGGATCTAGGCCACGAAAACCCAGAGCGACAGATTATCAGCTGTCAGGTGAGTAAGGAGATTATACAACACATACATTCAGAATGATCATACACGACTCTATGTGATGCTTTTATTTTGTAGTAATAGATGTTGTTTAGTTTAGTAGAACAAAGACGCTGATCAGTGGTTCAACTGAAAGACAAAGATCCTCTGAGCAACAGTTGAGTAAGAAGAGAAGGAACTGGAAGCTTTGCATCAAGATGTGTGCAGATTTAAAGAAGAACCGGTGCAGCTGGTTTATGATTTAATATCATATTAAATCATTGATCGTGTTTCAGTGGAATCTGTAAATGATTGAATCACATATCGAGATTTGATTTAGTCTAAATTGATAATAACGAGCACACACCAACTCAAGTTTCACTTTGAGTTTAGTTTAGTTTAGTTTAGTTAGTTTAGTTAGTTAGTTTAGTTTAGTTTAGTTAGTTTTAGTTTAGTTTAGTTAGTTTTAGTTTAGTTTAGTTAGTTTCAGTTTTTCATTTCTCAAATATTTAATTCACACAAAATACACAAAAACAGGCGTTTACCATGTAGTTATTTAATATAGACTATATATTTATTGAAATACTGGGAAACATACATCGTTTTATATATATACATATATACATATATGTATATGTATATATATACATATATGTATATGTATATATACACATATACATATATACTGTACATATATGTATATGTATATATATATATATATATATATATATACATATATATGTATATATATATATACATATACATATATGTGTATATATATATATACATATACATATATGTGTATATATATATCATTATCGAGATATTAAATTATCTTTATCAGGATAGATGATTTTTTTTGGTCATATCGTTAAGCCCTACGGACAACTTCCTGTTTCACAATAAAAGCAGTCTAGAACAATAGAATTTACCAATCGCAGTTTAAATCTCTTCAATCGATATTTACGGTTCGATAATCAAACTGATTCTACATCCAGATCAACAGGATCCTCCAGGTCATCATCTGTCTTATATTCTCTCTGAACAGGAAGTCAGAGGACAGACCTTCATGGCCAAAGTGGCTCCATCAGTCCCGACCCCCATCTCCAGGTTGACTCCGCCCACCATCGTTCTACAGGACATGGAGGAGGAGCCAGGTGAGAGGTGAGTGGTTATAGTGGGTAATAATGAGTGTTGCTTTGGACCCAAGAAGAAGTTCTCTGGGTCCTTAGAGAGGTTCTTTAAGGTTTGATGGGTTGTGAGGCGGTACTATTTATAGGTCCTTTAAAGGATCTAAGGCTCCTTATGAAAGGAATATGGGTCCTTGAAGATGTTCTATGGACCCATAAACCTTTAAAAGGTTTCAGGGGTTCACAAGGTGGTTCTGTAGATTTTGGGGATCCTTTCAAGAATCCAGGGGACCTTTAAGAAGTTCTATGGGTCCGTGAAGATGTTATTAATGAGGTTTCAGGGTTCCTTGAGGAGGTTTAACAGGACTGTGAGACAGTTTTGGGATTAGGATCTAAGAGTCCTGATGGAAGTAATATGGGTCCTTGAAGAGGTTGTTCTAAGGATCCTTTAAAAGGTTTCATGAGTTCTTCAGGAAGTTTGATATGTCCTTGAAGAGATTTAAGGAGATTATGAGGTGGTCCTGAGGAATTTAGGAGTCCTTTAAAATATTGAGGGCTTCGATTAGAAAGTGTTGAAGGGTGTCCTTGAGGAGGTTTGAGGGGTCCTTGAGGAGGTTCTGTTGTCCTTCATAAAGTTCTAGTGGTCCTTGAGAAGTTCCAGGGCTCATTGAGACATTCCCAGACTGGTAGTTTGAACAGTTGAGTGAGTTGTAGTCAACAGTTAAACTAGTCCTGTCGTCTGATTCTCTGATTCAGAGCAAATCAAAGAGCCGGACCTGGAGTTCTGTTCAACATCAACAACAGCAACAACAACGAAGAAGAGTAAGTGTCTCTTTATATAAAACAATGCAGAACATACAAACAGTTTGTGTGATGCGTTTCCTGTTGTCCTCCAGGGAGGAGAAGAAGAAAAAGAAGAAAGAGAAGAAAGAGAGAAAAGAGAAAAAGGAGTAAGTCAAAAACACAGAATAGTTATTTATTTCTGCTCGCTGTAATGTTCTGTTCCCGTGAGTTGAACCTCCTTTGCTTTCATGTGCTCTTTCCTCTTAGGAAGGAGAAGCAGGAGAAAAAGGAGAGGAAGGAGAAAAAACAGAAGGAGAAAGAAGAGAAGGAGAAGGAGAAGAAGGCCAAAGAGGAGGCGTGAGTTTGGTTAATTAGGATCCACTGATTCAGAAACAGATGTTAGAGGCTTTGTTTTGTTTTACTGGAGACAAACCAGAGACAATCCTTCATTATAGTATAAAATAATAGTTATGATTCATTATTGTGTCCAGTCCTCAGGAGATCGCAGTGATTGATCCGGCAGGTAACACCTACTACCGCTGGCTGGCTGTTATCACCGTCCCCGTCATGTACAACTGGACCCTGATCATAGCCAGGTAACACACACCATTGATTATGTTCGGTTTCTGAGCCTAAACCGAAACCTGAGTCTAAACTTAGCCCTAGTTTTATTCAAGAAATTATGGAAATACAGTTAAAGCTGTGGAGTCAGGTGCCCCCAATGTCAGAAGGCAACCTGGTTTAGATCCCAACAATGCTGGTGGGTAACCAGGTTCTGTCCCGACTTTGTGAAATGGCTTCCAGGTTTCGGCCCCTGTCACTCTGTGAGTGACCATGTGGGTTTCTAGTCTTGGTTCCTGAACACAAGTGGATTTAATTTCAGTTGTCTATATGTAGTAACTGCGTGGCTGTATAAAGTGTGTTTGTGTGTGTTTCAGGGCGTGTTTCGAGGAGCTACAGACTGACTATTTGGTACTGTGGTTCCTTGTGGACCTTGTATGCGACCTCACTTACATCGCAGACATGATCTTCAGAACAAGGACCGGTCCGAACACACACAAACAGATTGTTCGATCTACACACTTAATTAGTGTATGTAATGTGACATGCATCCAAATGTACCACAGGTAAAAACCTGTTTGTTTCTGTGTGCGTAGGTTACTTGGAGCAGGGTCTGCTGGTGAAGGACGAGCAGAAGTTGCGTGAGCGCTACATGAACAGCGTCCAGTTCAAAATGGACCTGGTCTCCATGATTCCCACCGACGTGCTGTACCTCATTCTTGGCATCAAATACCCCGAAATCCGCCTCAACAAGCTGTTCAGGTTCAACAGGTACACCGAAAAAAACATTGAGTCTGGTTAACAATTTTCAAGTTACTGAAATTGCTTGAAAGAAAAAGTTCTGCATTCAAAAATGTCGTTGAGTAAAAGCACATCAACGTGTACAGGAAGTCAAACAATCTGTTTCTTTGTTTCAGGATGCTGGAGTTCTTCCAGAGGACGGAGACCAGGACTAACTACCCCAACGCTCTCCGCATCTTCAACCTTGTCATGTACATCGTCATCATCATCCACTGGAACGCCTGCCTCTACTACTCCTTCTCCAAGGCTATCGGTGGGGTTGCTGGTTTGAATCCTGACTCTGGTTGTTTTATCAGCGGTTGCTGTATAAAAGACTCTGACACCTCTGTCTCGTCCCGTCCCTCCAGGTTTCGGTGCTGACAGGTTTGTGTATCCCGACCCGGCAGATCCAGAGTTTGGTCGTCTGGTGAGGAAGTACGCCTACAGTATGTACTGGTCCACACTGACTCTCACAACCATTGGAGAGACTCCGCCCCCCGTGGAGAACTCAGAGTACTTCTTCGTTGTCACTGACTTCCTGGTGAGTGTGGCTTAAGGGGTCAGGGGTTTAACAGGTTTGGGTCCTTAAAATGTCAGTGATCTTTCAGGTTTAGTGATCTATCAGGTGTGGGTCCCCCTAATATCAGTGGTCTGCTAAGTTTGGGTCCCTACAATATCAGTGGTCTGCCAGGTTTATGTTCCCTCCAATGTCAGTAGTGTACCAGATTTACGTCCCCCCAATGTCAGTGGTCTTCCATGTTTACGTCCTCCCAATATCATCAGTGGTATACCAGGTTTGGTTACCCCAGTGGCAGTGGTCTACCAGGTCTTTTGTCCCCATAATGTCAGTACCAGTTTCGGAGAGACCCTGTCCCCTGTAGAGTACTCTGAGTACGTCTTCTCTGTCCCCTCTAACTTCCTATCTTCTCTTCTTTTCTCCTCCAGGTCGGTGTGTTGATCTTTGCCACCATCGTCGGTAACGTCGGTTCGATGATCACCAACATGAACGCTGCCAGAGCTAACTTCCAGGCTCGCATCGACGCCATCAAACAGTACATGACCTTCCGAAAGGTTAGTTCTTGTTTGTTGGACTTAGTTCAGTGGCTTATTCACGGACAGCGGTTTGTGTATAAATATACATATTTAGAATAAAGGGTGATTCTATCAAACATGGTTGTCCAGGTAACGAAGGACCTGGAGAAGCGAGTGATCAAGTGGTTCGACTTCCTGTGGACCAATAAGAAAGCAGTGGATGAAAGGGAGGTGTTGAAGTACCTGCCGGACAAACTGAGAGCCGAGATCGCCATCAACGTCCACCTGGACACCCTGAAGAAGGTCTGCACCCCCTTTCAGCAGAACTCTGATTTAAAAACAAACGAACAACCAGGTTCCTTTGTTCTGTGTCGTCCTGCAGGTTCGTATCTTTGCGGACTGCGAGGCCGGTCTGCTGGTGGAGCTGGTGCTGAAGCTGCAGCCCCAGGTCTACAGTCCGGGAGACTACATCTGTAAGAAGGGCGACATCGGCAGAGAGATGTACATCATCAAGGAGGGGAAACTGGCCGTCGTTGCCGACGACGGGATCAAACAGTTCGTCGTCCTGAGTGACGGGAGCTACTTTGGTGAGATCAGCATCCTGGCGATTAAAGGTAAGATGAGATCAATCAGTGGTTAAAGTGACTATTAGGAACTTGTATCTGGTCCTGAACCAGTCTCAGTGTAGTCCTGATCCTCTATCAGACCTCCATCAGTAACGAGACCATCAGAGAGAAGATGGTCTGTTTCTATAGAGTTATTCTTAATGCACGTCATCGGAGCCACCGGGTCGGATTCTGGTGAAACCAGATGAACTCATGCAGGTTCACGATGCTGGAGACCCAGGATGTATTGCTGGACCCGCTCAAGGGAAGGGAGGCACGGGAGAACCAGAACCAGGACTGAGAGGGGCAGACTGTCAGACCCTGCTGCAGTAAAATGAGAGGTTTTCTAAAGAGATTCTGGTGCTCAGAGACACTACCACTTTAGTCCACAGGGGGCGTAGAACCAACACTAAATGAAAGTTCCTTGTCGTGACTTTAAAGAAATACTACGTTACAAGAGTGTTTTTATTCCCTGACTGTCCTTCTCGTTCTCCAACAGGCAGCAGGGCGGGAAACAGGAGGACGGCCAACATCAGGAGCATCGGTTACTCCGACCTCTTCTGCCTCTCCAAAGACGACCTGATGGAGGCGCTGACGGAGTACCCTGACGCTAAAGCTCTGCTGGAGGAGAAGGGAAGGCAGATCCTGATGAAGGACGGACTGCTGGACCTGGAGGTATACGCTCACACGCTCTGTTGTAGTTACCCAAAAACCCCACAAAGAGGCTTTAAAAGTTAACGGTTGTCGTTGGTCCTCCAGCTGGCTGCGCAGGGCCCCGACCCCAAAGAGATCGAGGAGAAGGTGGACCGGATGGCGAGCACGCTGGACGTCCTGCAGACGCGCTACGCTCGGCTGCTGGCGGAGCGCGAAGCCACGCACAGCAAACTCAAGCACCGGGTCAACCGGCTGGAGAAGAAGCTGGCTCCGCCCCCTCCGGGTGAAGCCCCGTCCCCTCCGACACCAGAGACATAGACGACTAGAGAAGAAGAAGAAGAAGAAGATTTGTCTGCATGTAAAAGAAACTGCTGAGTCAGCGGAGACCAAGAGGACGATCGAATAACAAGAAAAATGTTATTTATGTTTCTAGTAAATATTTGACATCTTTGTGATTATAATGTATAATAATATATTAAATATTTAGCGCCACAGCTGTTTCCTTTGGGTAGTTTCTACGGCACGAAAACATCAGCCAATCGCATCTCAGGCCTTTTGTGCATTATGAGGTACTAGTACTTTCCATTTCATGCTACTTAATACTTCTACTTTTACTACATCTCAGAGGAAATGTTGTACTTTTTCCATCACTACATTTATTTGATACCTTTATTTATTTTACAGGTTCAGATCATTAATATAAAATATAATAAAATATTAAAATATGGCCTTTATAATGAGGATTAAATAAGATAAGATAAGGGGGAAATTAGCAGTTAGCAGTATATAAAGTAATTATAATCATTTATTTTTATACCACTAGTATTATTTAATTTAAATGTCTCCTTTATTACCTTTAATTAATTAATTATTAATGAAGTGATGCATTTTTTAAAATTCAAAGAAATGTCCTGTTGCTAATTTAAAATAATTAAAAACACAAGTATTATTAATAATATTTATTTATTTGGCTTCAGAATATATGAATGAAACGACGTTGACACGTCGCTCTGTCTGCGTGTCTCCGTGTGCTCGGTGGGATTTGTGGTTCTTTACTTTAAAAATAACGAGAAAACCAAGCAGCCGGGATCTGTTTCCAGGACTACAAGTACCAGCGTGCACCGCGCGGGGCTTCGCGCATGTCAACCAAGTTACAGACGCCTACTGTCTGCTTCTTCTTCACACTGCTGAGGTTTGAAAAAGCTTATTCTTCTGTTTGACTTTTAATAAAATAAACTCAGGTGCACGTTTATATTTTAATAACGGTTGTTCACTGGATGTGACGTCTGTTTCCGCCCTTTAGTAACGGTAGTGGCAGCAGTTGGTTAGCGTTAGCTCACCGGGAGCTAGCCGGCTAACATCAGTCTGAACTTGGCTGTTATCGATAACTAACTAGTTCGTTTCTTCAACATACTGTGGTGCTTTAACGTACTGTGGTACTTTATCGTACTGTGGTACTTTAACGCACTGTGGTGCTTTAACGTACTGTGGTACTTTAACGTACTGTGGTGCTTTAACGTACTGTGGTGCTTTAACGTACTGTGGTGCTTTAACGTACTGTGGTGCTTTA